TTATGGACAAGGAACCTAAATTTACGTAGTAGAACCCTTCTCCTTTCCCATCAGTCTGCCTGTTGCAACATAGCTATTTAATGATGAATATATTATTTTATATTCTGCTATTTTAAATTAACATTATGTGATAGAATGATTATTCTAATGGAGGCAATATAATATTCCATTAAGCATTTTTCTTTCATTGGACATTTAAATCATAATTTTGCTCCAATTTTTTATTGCCCCAAAATAAAGATATCTTCATGCTTCCATTTTCTTTTGAAAAATTTCCCTATTTTGTAGAAATTATTTTGTTTCTCTTTCTTTAAACAGCTTCATTGAAGTATAAAATTGACATATATAATAAATAACATGTATTTAAAGCGTACAAATTGGTAGATTTAGACATATATATATATATATATATATGCATGTATGTATATCTGTGAAACTATTACTACAGTCAAGAAAGTGAAGAAATCCATCACTCCCACAAGTTTCCTCGTGTTCCCTTGCAGTCCCTTTCTCTGCCCTTTCCTGTCCTCTCCTCACAGATAACACCTGGTTTCCTTTTTGTCACTATCCATTAGTTTGCACTTTCTAGAATTTTCTATAAATGGACTACATATGCATCATGTATTCTTTTTTGTCAGACTTCTTTCACTCAGCAAAGTTATTTTGAGAATGATCCTGGTTGTTACAGCAATAGCTCTTTTGTTTTTATTGCTGAATAGTACTTCTTTGAAAGGATAGACTATAAATTTTTTATCTATTCACGTGATAGTGGGCATTTGGTTGTTTATGGTTTTGGTTGTTACAGATAAAGCTGCTATGAACATTCATGTGTGAGTCTTTGGGTGAAAATATATATTCTCTCCTGTTGGGTAAATACCTAGGAGTAGAATGGCTGGTATACATTTACCATTTTTTAAGAAACCGCTAAATTGTTTTCCATAGTGGCTGGACTATTTTATATTTCTACCAGCAGCGTATGAGACTTCCAGTTTCTTGACATCCTTGCCAATACTTGGTATGGTCGCTCTTTGTAATTTTAGCCATTCTAATAGGTGTGTAATACTATCCCATTGTGGCTTCAAGTTACAATTCCCGAATGGCTAATATGCTGACCAATTTTAATATACTTCTTTGGTGAAGTATCTTCTGCCACTAAAAAAATTTATTATTATTTATTTTTGAGAGATATATATACTGTCTGGATACAAGTCCTTTATCAATATATGTGCAGAAAATATTTTCTCTCACTCTGTGGCCTGTCATTCTCTTAACACTGCCTTGGTCCAGATGTATTACCTTTTTGTCTATATTGTATTTGAATTGGTAAAATTCAGTGTAGAATTTTTAATCTATATTCATGAGGGATATTGGCCTGTGGCTTTCTTTTGTTATAATATTTTTGTATGGCTTGGTATCAGAGCAATACTGGCCTCACAGAATGAGTTAGAAAGTAGTCTTTCCTCTGCCATTTTCTGGATGAGTTTTGTAGAATTGGTACTGTTTCTTCCTTAAAAAATTGTAGAATCCATTAGTAAAATTATCTCAGCCTGGAATTTCACTGTGAAAAAGTTTTAAACTTTAAATTTAATTTTTGTAATAATTATAGGTTACCTGTTTTTTATTTTGATTGAGCTTGATAGTTTGTGTTTTTCAAGGAATTTGTCCATTGTATTTAACTTGTATATTGGCACAAGCTGTTTATGATATTTCCTTATAGTTCTTTCAGAGGCTGTACAAACTGTAGTGATCTCACCTGGAATAACTTCTCATTCCTGATATTATTAATCTGTATCCTCTCTGATTTTTCCCTGATTAGTCTGGTTGGAGATTTACCACTTTTATTGATATTCTCAAATAACCAGCTTTTGGTTTCATTATTTTTTATTGTTTTTCTGTTTTCTATTTTATTTCTACTGTAGTATTTTTCATTTCCTTATTTCTGTTTTCTTGTTTCTAGTTTCTTAAGGCCGAAGCTGAGGTTAAGACGTTTCTTCTTTTCCAGTATAGACACTTAGTGCTATAAAATTTCCCCTAAGTGTGGCTTTAATGACATGCCACAGACGTGGGTATGTTGCATTTTCCTTTTTATTCAGTTCACCATACTTTTAAATTCCCCTTTGCTTTCTACTTTAACCCATGAGTTAAAGAATTCTATAACTTAGTTTACAAACATTTGGGGATTTTTTCAAAAAGATGTTTCTGTTATTGATTTCTCTCTCAATTCCCTTGTGGTCAGAGAATATATTTTGTGTGATGTGAATCATTTTAAATTTGAGACTCATGTCTCAGAAAACTGTCTGCTCTGGTAAATGTTCTGTGCGAACTTGAAAAGAATGTATATTCTGCTCTTGTAGGGTGGAGTGTCCTATAAATGTCTATTAAATTAATTGAATTAACAGTGCCCATACTTCTAAATCCTTGCTGATTTTCTGCCTGCCTGTTCTCTTCATTTCTGAGAGAGGGGTATTAACGTTTCTGACTATAATTATAGGTTTATTTCTCCTTGCAGTTGTATCGGTTTTTGTTTCATTTATTTCTAAACTTTGTTACTAGATGCATTAATATTTAGGATTATTGTGTACTCTTAATGTATTGACCCCTTTAAATTATATTAAAAAACACTCACACAAGAAAACCCTTCTTTATCCTTGGTAATAGTCTTTGCTTTAAAATCTACTCTGATATTAATATAGCCACTCAGTTTTATTTTGACTAGTTTTAGGATAGTATATCTTTTTTCATTTTTCTTCTGTAAGGTAAATTAGGATTGATTGCCTCTGGGAAGCAAAAATACAGAGTGGGATAAAAGCAAAAGGTAAACTCATATTTCATTGCTTGGAAAAAGTACTGCAGGCTACCATAAGGCCTTTAATTAAAGTGCTGGCTTATTTTTGTTCCTTTCCATCTTAAGATAAACGAACTTTATTGCCTAGTAGAATATAAGACCTATAAAAATGTTCAAAAATGAAGTTATATGTGTAAGTTATGAGGACAGTATATCCATTTCCTGCACGATCCTGTTCTCAAGACTTGTAAAATTAATTTTAAGAAAACCATGGCATTCTGGACATTACAGACATCCAGATACACCCTGAATCAGGAACAGTTCTCCCATGATTAATGGGGAGAAAGAGAAGGAAAATCAATAAAGCTGTACTGTAAATTAAAAAATATGTTAAATAAGCGTTCTATTCCCCTTAAAGCTATATAAAAGATAAGCAGAAACCTGGGTGAGACACGGGGCGAAGACTGGAAAAAGTAGCTTGGATGAGTCAAATACATCAACCCCTTTATAGCTCTCCAAAGTAAATATTTATGTGGTGATTTTAAATAGCATTTTTATTGAGATACACTTCCTATAACATAAAATTCACCATTTTAAAGTGTGTAGTTTAATGGCTTGCAACCATCACCACTATCTAATTCCAGAACATTTCCATCCCTTCAAAGAGGAACCCTGCACCTATTAGCGGTTGGTCCCAATTCCCCCATCTCCCCGCCCTTGGCAACCACTCACCTACCTTCTGTCTTTATAGATTTGCCTATTCTAGCCACATTCAATATGTGGCCTTCTGTGTCCATCTTTTTTCACGTACAATGTTTTCAAGTACATGATGAATTTTATCATACTCCTCATTTGAAGATACTTTGCTTGACAACAAGAAAACCACTTGCTCAAGGTGGAAATAGATATGTGGATTAGAAGACTCTAGTTCTAGTGGTGGCTTCTTAACTTCCAAGGACTTTGGTCTCCTCCGTTGTACAATATGGATATCAGATGAGATCATATCAAAGTTCTCTCTTTTTTATTTCTGTTACTCCAGGGATCTCAAGGACACAGAGACACATACTCCTGTCTTTTTTTGGGGGGGGAGGGGGGAATAACAATTGTTGCAAAAACAATTAGCTAGATTTGAAAACTTTAGTTCCTAACTTGATCTGGAGACAGGACATTTGATAGCTGCTGTCAATAACACTTGGGAGCTGATTATAAACTCAGAAAGTTAACACCAGCGTCATAGGCAGGAGAGAAGTATAACAATAAACCGGCTGAGCTGTTTGTGTCAGTGTGTGTTTCCCTTCACTTCTGAAGAGGGATGAGGGTTTCCTCTAGGACATCCGCCCTGATAAAAACCTCCACACTTAAAAAAAAAAAGCCATTAGAAATTTGCATAGATGAGCTATACAGGGTTGGTACGCTATATTCAGTATTTTGTGAGTGAATAGTGGATGAATGGCTGGGTGGCTGGGTAAATGGATGGAAGCCATATAATTAAAGGCTGATCTAATGGTAAGAATAAAAAAGACACGCTCAGTTTTCTTCTCCATCCCAGCTTACAATGGGTAGAATAAATACAAAATGTTAAAAACTAAAGGAACAGTGGTTCAGAAATGTTTATTTTATTAATTCTGATACAACACAAGATACAGTGCATTTAATATGCTGTTTTGTTGCAGAAATTAATCAGCACCAGTTTATGGTTTAAATTATATAGAACAGTACTATGAATGAAAATATGTGTATATTCTTTCTGGCTGTACTAAAAATTAACAAAAGCAGAAATGTAAATCAATGCCACCTGGTTCATTTTTACCACTCCTTGGAAGGAGATAAAATAATGGTTGTTATGTTTTACAAGCTTATATTTAGCAAATATATGCTGTATACATGTATATTTCTGTTAAAAACCAAATATCACAAGACCCTGCAAAGCTACACACTACTGTGCCGGGTTGATGGCCTTGGATATAGAGGGTCTTTTCCTGAGTCAGTATTCAAGTGAGGGGAGGAGAGCAGGGTGGCTTCAGGGCCTTCTTTCCAGTGCTTTTCTTCTTAGCTACCCTCGGGCCCACCTCTTACTCAACCCATCTCTCCTCTCTTCCCGTCCCTCTTCCCTCAACTCCCATTCCCATGCTACCGTTACTCCATTTCTTTCCTTCCTGCTCCAACCAGAGCCTGAATGGTGACAGTGACCGATCAAGGTGGAGAGAACTGTGACAATCATTCACTTCTCCCCACCCTGTGTCAAGCTCAGCCTTGAGAAGGAAACGAAGGTCACGATGAATATTGCCCGGCACCCACACTTGAATTTTTATTTCTATCTTTTTTCAATTACTTGGATTTTACAACGTGATGAATGCCTCCATGACCAGGAATATTTTTAAACATTCTTGTAATATTTCTCATTGCTATAAAAATTCAAAACGGTCTCTCTTTGTGCTAACACTGCAATTACACTTAAACATCACTGCCATTGCCGTTATAGTCACTGTGTAAGAAAATCCACCATGACAAACAGGTCTACACGGCTGCCATGGTTCTGGATTTTCAATTTCAAATCGTTAATACAGTTCTAGAGTCCCAGTAGGAATGTATGGCCCTTGAACTCCTCATTCCTTGAACTTTTACTTTCTCTCCTAGGATGTAAACAACTCTTCTTTTGTTTATCAGGCATCACACCTTTCCGCACCGCAGAGCCCAGCTGGTCAGAGGGGGCTGGAGCTGGTTTGAAGGATGGGTTTTGCATCTTTTGGTTAAACACCAGAGACTACTTGTGTCACGCAGGAGACGTATGTAGTGCCAGTCCAGAGCCTACTTGTCATATTTAAGGTAAGGAGCCTCCTGACTCCACAATGATATTTAGCTTTATTAAGAGGTAGAATGCCTAAATCTTATCCCCAGCCTCTCTTTGTAAATATTTCTATTAACCAAAATCTTGATAAATGAACAGAAGTAAAACAAGCTTGTCGTGTTTTATCTCCTGAAACTTGGCAGAATTTCTTCACTTTGTCTTAGTTTCACTCAAGGTATTACTGTAATAAAACCTGCACTGAAGCATTGGCCTTGGTAACCTCATTTTGATTCTGAAGCTACACTGGTGCTCATGCAGCAAGTTACATTTGGCAGAACCATATTTTTTAGTGATTATGAAAAGAGAAAAATTTTGAATAAATGTTTCAAAAATAAATGTCTAATTTCCTGTAATTAAACCTTGATTTCAGAAGGGAGTTCTTACAAGTCCACAACATGCTTCACTGCTACAAAAACGTCTGGCTCAGCTGACATTATAAATCAATAAGATACCTTTATATTAGAGAATCGAGTTAACGTGGCATTTCAAATATTAAAGGTTTAATATTTGCATCAAAATCCTTTCTGAGAATATAGGCTTTCAAGGGCTTTGTTTTCAGTATTATTTTTTTGTTCGTCAGCGTAGTTCATTCGGATACTTCGGAGGAAGCAGTATTTTTGTTCTATATATTAACCATTACTTATATATGATTTTTATTCCAAATGTCCTTGAGAAATCCTAGTCAGTACTATAAACACGAATGAATAGAGAGGCTCATGTTACTTCAAGTTTCCCATGACCTGAAAGGCTGGGCAACTCCAGCCACTAGCCTGGGAATGGCACAGGGCCAGCATGCTTACTGCAGGATCCTCTGAATTCTTCCCTGGCTAGAGCTTTGCAGATGAGCTTCCATCGGCAAGATTCTTCCATCTAAAGCTTCCCATTTTCACCACAGAGAATTCTCCTTCTGAGCCATAGCCTCTTAGCTCAGGTTTCACATTTGAAAGGGCTCCAAAGGACAAAATAGCCCTTCGCAGTTCCACCTTGATTTAATGAACTAGGGTTAGCTTCACTCAGACTCAAGTGATAGAAGAACCTGCAATATTGATTTCAGCATGGAATTATTTGAAGTATTGGGACTAAAAATTCCAAAGACCATGAACTGGGTGCTGACTGAGATATGGAATAGGGTCGGGTGGTGGTCTCCTAGAAGAAGCAAATCTTGTTCCAAATAATATATCAGGCATTATTTTGAAAAGTACTGAGATGCAAGAATTGTATCTCCTCCTGTAAGAAATTTTCATTTATCACTTTTCCTGGAGCTATATTCATTTATGGTCCTTTTTTTTTTTTTTTAACAAAATACAATCAGTCATATACTATGATAAAAAAAAAGTACCAAGTCAGTCATGACACCTTGTTTTCTATTGAGCAATATGCACAAATCCTGTAAATAAATAGGTGAGAAATCCCATGGGCACCTGTAAGGCCAGTTACATTTACAGTTTCCAGGAGCACACATAATTGTGAGGTCTGCCCTTCCTACAGTCCTTTGTTTGCCATTTGCCTTGTCTTTGAACCAAAACACAGTTCTTGCCAGGCTTTGCACGTCGAGGGGGTCCTCTCCTCCAGTTGGTGAAGGTGACAGGTTCACCGCCAATCCACTCCCAGCGGCCAGCATGCACTTTATTATTCAAACCTGATGTGAGCCAAAAAGAATGTGCCAAACGATTTTATTACATTTATACCTGGATGTCGTATCAGTCCATCGTTCTGAGCTCAACAGTCACATGCAAACATGGGCCTAAGTTCTAAAACATGGAATAGGTCCTGGGGATCCTACAGGGCACAACTAAACTCATAAGGCTTTGGGGTTAGGCAGATCTGAATTTAAATCCTAGCTCCAGCATGTGCTCACTGAGCATTTTGGGGCAGGTTACTTAACCACTCTAAGTTTTAGTTTCCCCACCTACAAATTGGAATAAAAATAGTATATCGCCCTGGCCGGTATGGCTCAGTTGGCTGAGCATTGTCCTGTGCACCAAAAGGTTGCTGGTTTGATTCCCAGTCAGAGCACATGCCCAGATGGCAGGCTCAATTCCTGGGAGGCAACCGGGAGGCAACCTATCAATGATGTTTCTCCCTCTCTCTAAAAATCAATAAAAATATACTTTTAATAGGATATCTTGGGCTGTTTTGAGGGCGAAGTAAGATAATACATGAGAAGCACATGGCATGTACACATGTTTAATAACTGGCCATTGTTATTTATATTATTCTATAGGCAGAGCTTCTATCACAGGGACACAGATACACTCCTGCCTATTGTTCTTCTTCCTTGTTTCTTAAATGTCTTGGTTTTTCTACGTGAAAGGAGCTTGCTAAGTATCATGTTTAGTCTGCAGCTTAAGACTTGTTCAATTTTCGACAATTCCAACAAAAAGCAGCTTTTCTCAACTCGTCCCTCTACTCCCACTGGCAATTTTTTGCACATTACACTTTAATGTTGCAAAGCTCTTACAATTTTTCATAAAGAAGCATTCCTCCTCCTCACTCTCTTTTATAAGAGAAATAAAAATAATAAAGTGACCCCGGCTGGGTGTGGCTCAGCGGTTGAGCGTCTACCTAGGATCCAGACGATTGGGGTTCGATTCCCAGTCAGGGCACATGCCCGGGTTGCGGGCTCGATCAATGACTCTCTCATCATTGATGTTTCTGTCTCTCTCTCTCCCCCTCTTTTCTTCTCTCTGAAATCAATAAAGTTATATTAAAATAATAATAATAATAAAAATAAAGTGAGACAATGATGTCCTGCAACAGCATGATCTGACATCTCCCAACCAAATGTGACCGTGAAAACAGTCTTAGTTACACACCACACAACCTGCTCTCAACCGATTCTCAGTCAATACTTTGAGGTAAAATAAGATGAAGTACTTTTAGTTAGGAATAAGCTAGCTTGTCCTGGATTGTTCCCTTGAATTAGTGATCAGGTCACGCTATGCCCAGGTACTTCACGGGAACAGAGTCTTGAAATAAGCTGTGGATGTAAAGAAAACTTACCCTTTAGCCTCAGCTTAATACACTCAGATGATTTCAGAATTTAGAGACTCGCTTAGAAGTAAAGAGATCTTAAAAAGCCAAGAATGGTTTATTAGTGTTCCCTGAAATACAACACCTTTAAGGAGAGGTGGTGAGAATACTGACTTTGATGGGCCCTGAGAATTCTAGTTCAAAAGTGGCTTGAAAGGATTTGTATTATTGTTAAAAATGTAGGAAATATTAAAACTTCAGAAAAGAAGGGATACAATTAAGATCACCTATAATTCTCAACTGGAGGTTAAACATTTCTAATTGTTTGACATGTTTGTTTCAATATATGTATGTATATGTATATGTATATGTTATATGTATATAAATTTATATATATCTCATTTGTATAAATTTATTTTTTATTTTAAATTATTTCATGTCTCACATGGTTATGGACTCTGCCTTTTTACTTAACAACTTGGCACAAATGCAATGCATTACATATTTTATGTATAATGTTCATCCAATAGATATTTATTGAATATTAATAAACGAGGCATTTTGTCATGTCTTTAATATTTAGTGCTTTTGCAAAGCACTAAATATTAAATATTGCTTCACATGGCTATACTATAATTTATTTAACCATCCCCTATTTATAGCTATTTCTAATTTTTTACTTTTAGAAAAACCATTTGTTGGATTCTCTTACTTATAAACAAACCCTTATTATTTCATTTAGATAGATGTCTAAAAATGAAAGTATTGTGTAATTAAGATGAGCTTTAAAAGATAAACTGTCCAACCTTGCAATGTAACTTGTTATTGTAAACAACAATCACTTGGCCCATGGAAGAGAGACGTTCTCTTCCATGTAGCACAGATACTTGCCTATCCAGAAGGGCTTCCTTCCACTGAAGTCCCAGAGCCACCGCATATGCTGCCTGGACAGGACAGTTACAAGGCTGCCCAGGTGACTACGAGCAAATGAATGAAAGTGAGAGCGTCAGTGACAAGGGTTCAATGTTTCTGCTGATATGCATAGCAGAAATCAAACTCAAGTTAAATTAGAAAAACGTACATATGCAGAAAAACCTTTCCAAGATTTTAAAACTCTATTTTATTTTTTTAATTTAATGAGTATCTGCAGGGTTGGGTAAGTGAACAGCAAAGAATGTGACATTTTATTATAATATCTGGGCTTTAAACCACAAATTCAATAGCTTTTCTATATCTTTTTAGAAAAATCAGCAACTGCTTACTCATAAAGATTACCCAATGCCAAAATATTACTCCTCTCATAGGAAGTTTCTCTCTAAATGGCATAAATTTGGCAGTCATCCAGTTAATTTGATCACTAAGGTAACCCAAACAATTCAGATCAAATGACTTGAGGCCTACATTTTGAGCTTGATGTGTTTAGTCAAACACCCTGATAACTGTGGTCCTTTCATCACACTCGGTGAAATGAGCATGGCCTCACTGTCAAACCTCCATATGTTGTGTAGAAGTTAAAGCACCTGTTCTTAAGAATATATTTTTTTTCCCCCATAACAGAATTATTTTTTATAAGTTTAAAGTATACGGTACAATGACTTGACTTAGATATATTGTGAAATGATTACCACAATAAGTTAACATCATTTCCAATAGATACCAGAAAAGAGGAAAAAAAATGTCTTTTACTTTTGAAGAGAACGCCCTTAACAACTTTTGACTCTACCATACAGCAGTATCTACAGTCATCATGTTGTACGTTCCATTCCCAAGTACTTATTATTTATTTATCTTATAAATGGATGTTGGTACATTTTGACCACCTTTCTCCAACTGCCCCATCCCCCATCCCCTGCCTCGTGACCACAAACTTGGTCTCTTTATTCATTATTTTTGTTTTTGTGTTTTAGATTCCACATATAAGTGAGACCATACAATACTTGTATTTCTTTGTCTCAGTTAATGCCCTTAAGATTCATCCATATTGTCACAAAGGGGAAGATGTCCGTCCTTCTTTTTTATGGCTGAACACTATTTCATTGTATATCCGAACCACAGCTTCTTCATCTNTACTATTTCATTGTATATCTGAACCACAGCTTCTTCATCTGTCTACCTGGAGATGAACATTTAGATTGTTTCCATGTCTTGGCTATCGTGAACACTGCTGCTGTGAACATGAGGGTGTAGATGTCTCTTCAATATGGCGTTTTCATTTCCTTCAGACATATTCCCAGAAGTGGAATTGCTTGACTGTATGGTAGGTCTATTTGTAACTTTTTGAGAAGCCTCCAGACTGCTTTCCACAGTAGCTGCACTAATTTACAATCCCACCAAGAGTGCGCAAGGGTTTCCTTCTCTGTCCTCACCAGAATTTATTTCTTATCATTTTGATGACAGACATTCTAACTGGCATAATAATTTTTTTTTTTT